TGCGTTTTTAACTTCCAGTAGCATTTTAGGATGAATTTCCCTTGGTTAAAGCTTAGTCTGGATGAAAAGAAAGAAACATCGATTTAACTATCAGCTGTTAAAGTGTGTGTACATGTTTTGGGGACATACTGTATAAATATCATGTATGGATATGTGTGTGTGTGTGTGTGTGTGTGTGTCAAATGGCATTAAGTATATTTGTATTTGCATGTAATTTGATTCAATAATTTTTTTAAATATATTTTATTGATTTTTTACAGAGAGGAAGGGAGAGGGATAGAGAGTTAGAAACATCGATGAGAGAGAAACATCGATCAGCTGCCTCCTGCACACCCCCTACTGGGGATGTGCCCACAACCAAGGTACATGCCCTTGACCAGAATCGAACCTGGGACCCTTGAATCCACAGGTTGACGCTCTATCCACTGAGCCAAACCAGTTAGGGCTTGATTCAATAATTTATATATATATAACTTAAACCATATAAGGCATTTACCTTTAAAACAAAAATAAAACTAAGTGCCATAGCCGGTTTGGCTCAGTGGATAGAGCGTCGGCCTGTGGACTGAAGGGTCCCAGGTTCGATTCCGGTCAAGGGCATGTACCTTGGTTGCGGGCACATCCCCTGTAGGGGGATCGATGTTTCTCTCTCATCGATGTTTCTGGCTCTCTATCCCTCTTCCTTCCTCTCTGTAAAAAAATCAATAAAAATATATTTTTAAAAACATATAAAAAAAATAAAACTAAGTATTTTATATTTGTGGTATTTTGGAATGTCTTCTCTTTACTTTCAGAGGGATATGGAATGTCCCATACATGGCTAATGTGTACTTAATTAAAGGGAAGACACTTCGATCAGAGATGAATGAAAGGAACTATTTTGTTCGTGATAGACTGGATCCTGACATGGCTCTTTGCCGAAATGCTAGAGAAATGGTAGGGTATATGATGATGGCTTGTTTGGTGTTCTTAGAAGATGGCTTGCTTTCCCAATTGATGTGCTATTTTCTTTTGATGTCCTTTTTCTTTCCAGTTTGTAAATACTAGCCAATTTTTTTGATTCTGTGTTGGGAAATTGGGAACAATTATGGAGACTAATTTGTGAATATTTACCTATGAAATACTTGAAAAATTAGGCTACTGATTAAGCTAACTCATCAGCAACAATGGGATTCAATAATAAATATGAATTTGTTACAAATCAGAATAGCATTTTTAAGAATTAATATATACTTTCATTTGTAATTCTGTATTGAAAACTTGATCTCAATAAAATTAATTAGGTAAAGCCTAGGTGAAATGATCATTTACACATTTAAGAACACACTTTTGTTCTGAAAATCAGTGTCCATACTTTATTATCAATATCTCTGTATGTCTTACCACTAAACTGGGAGACGGATTGAGGTATGTAGTATATTTAATCTATGTGAAAAATTAATGATAAATTGCTATTCTAAAAGTCTACTTTCATTATATAACTTAAATGACTATAGAAAATAATTTGTTTTTCAAAATCTTTTTAAACATATTTATATGGTTTTCTGTTTTAAAAGGATTTGATTATTGTATTCAAATTTATGTAAGCAAATGTAATTTTGTGAACAATCAAAAAAGTTGGCAAGTAGTTTTTATTAGTTTAATAAGGCATGTGTTGTGTGAATATGTTTGTTTTTTCTACAAACCTGTGTGCATTGTTATTAAATATCCTCAGTATCTATAATTGTAATTTGTGCTCATGTTTGGCTAATTTCACTCAACAGCGCATCCCAGAATGGCCTCTCTTACACATTTTTCTCTTTGTCTTAATTTTATGTCTAATGGAAATTATACTACTGAATGAGCTTGGATTTATGTTTCACAAGGGGAAAAAAGGGGCTAGAGTTGTTTCTTTGTGTGCTCTAAGCTTTGCTTGTTCTGCATGTTTTCTAAGAGGGGCATTTCAGAATGTCAGCTTTTCGTGAAGGGTTGCTATTTTACTACCTGAGACTACATGAGAGAGTGGGTTTGCAGGTCAACTTATCCCATGCTTCTCTTCATTTTAGACTTTACAAAGGGAAAAAGACTCCCCTACTCCGGAAACATTCCAAAT